TCCTACTCTAAGAGCTTTTGAATTCAAAAGGAATGTGTGTGGAGAATAAATGTTAGAGACTACAGGCATCTATGTTGTTTGGCAGCTTTAGGAATCCCAGCCCTCAACCAGACATTCACTTTTCAGACTATTTCCCAGCCTCATTACATCCTGTCTAAAGGGTACAATCTACCTCAAGCTGGAAGATCAGATCTCTGCAGCCCACTGTACAGACCAGGCTTCATGGTTCCAGTGCTTCTCCCTTTGATAGTCATTGCCGCAACTAAGCCTGCTGCTGCTTCTCATGCACTGCACCAGAAATAGCATCTTAGACTGCCCACGTACGGAGACGGTCCTGGTAACTAGCAAAGCAAATATCAAAGGATGAACAGGTCCTTGTTATTAAACGAGTTACCTTCCAGATTATTAGCATCACCACAACCTATCGTCCAGACAATCGAGATAATTCTAGCTTTCGTAATTTGTTCCCAACTGCCTGAGACATCAGTAATTGCACGGATACTTCGTACATATCTTTTGGCAGCTCCAGGCCTGGCACATGCTGTCTGTGCCAGTCCCACCGAGAGATCCAGGCAGCTGATCCAGCTGGCTCAAGGCAACACCAGGACTCTTCAAGAGTGTTCAGTGCAGGCCGATTAAAAGCCAAAAAATTTAACTCTGCTCATAAATGACAGATCATGAGATTATTTTTTTTTTTAAGTGCTCCATTTATTTATAATGGACATTAGCCACTCTTAGTGTTGGACAAACAACGCACACAGTTGTGGTCATTGCCTTCCAGAGGATTTAATGGAACCAGGGAAGGACCAAAATAGCAGCACAAGTCAGTGGTGCTCTCATGTTCAGGGAGGTCAGGTAGCTGAGGTCTCTGATAGGAGAAAAGATAGAGACTCAAAACTATAAACATGCAGAAAAGGGAATAAATTATTTCCCTGATCTCACAAAATCTAATGGAAAACCAATGGAAATGTCAGGTAGCTAGTGAGGAAGAGGAATAAGCAGCACCACTCTTTGTGGTGTGTAGCTGAATCATGAAATCTTTTACACAAGATATGAGGAAGCCAAAATTATAAACAGACTCCAGAACACGTAGGAGAAGAGCCTCCTTATAACTCTCAGTTTAAAAGCCAAGAGACCCATCTTCCCATGAACTCCAGCAAGAACAGATATGAGCCCTGAAGGTCCTGAATGCAGGTTCATAGGTCCAAAGATGTAACCAAGGGGTCTGGATGTGGGGAGGGCTCTGTTTCCAGAGCAGCAATAGAAAATGAATAAATTCCCCTGATCTTCCCTCAAGAACAGTGCATTAAGGTTGTGTATTTCCAGGCCAGTTGGGCATTTGCCTCCTTTTTTTTTTTTTTTTTTTTTTTTTTTTTGGTGATTTAGAGTTGCTAATGGATGATGTGATCATAGGAGCAAATGCAAGCCCATGAAAACGTGAAAAATAAAATGAACAGGAGCAATAAACTACGTGTGTCTACCCAACAGCAACAGGCACATCACAGCAGGGCACATTTCCTCAATACTCATCTACAACTGGAAGAGTTTATAAGAAATAAATAAAAATAAATTACTGAGGGAAGAAAATCTTCCAGGAAGCAGCAGTCTATTATTTTCCCAGGCCTTTATTAGCAGCAGATCCACAGGCTTTCTTGGAAGAAAATGAGAAAAAGCATTGCAGCTCTGCTGTCGAGAGAAACCAAGGGAGTATTTTCTGGAACAGCAAGCCAAGCTTTTTAGGGCTACTATCAATTAGTTTCCAGTTTAGCTCAATAGGATATTGATCCTGGTCACAGAACCCTGATTTATTTTCTGATTAGCAAGTTTGACTGTTGGATTTTGACAAACAAGATGTCCATCACCGCAGAAAAAACAACCGTATTTATCAGTAATAACAATATGAAGGCTTTGAGTAGAAAAAGCTGGGGAGGGGTGTGTCAAAAAAAGCAGGTGTGGGAAGGGTTACTGCACGATCACTTTAACATTTACATAAGGGTAAGTTCAATTAATGCAGAGTCTTCCCCCACAGCCTCCTCCAAAACACACTCAGACACTGGCTGGCCTTCTTCCTATGGAAACAGCCAACGAGAGCAAAGATGCTCTTTGCTTTCATGGGTATTTTAGTTAAAAGCTGAAAATGAGATCAAGTTTTCTGACATTTGCTATCTACCTTAAAAATGTGCACCCAACAGGATTACCAGGTGTACAACCCTGCGTGTGATATCATGAAATGCATTCCATGTTCTTTCACATTTATATGGGAAAAAAAAGAAATCAAAATCCCTCTATAATATTGAAGATCAATGTGAAACTGAGCTTAGGAACCGAACATCAATCGCTGCCCGCGAAACATGAAGTAACATATTCAAGTAGAAATCCTGCACATATGGCAAAGGAAAGCTTTTGATTTTGAGTAGTAAAATGATGTTTCAAAACCTGATGTCCTACATAACTGTATCTGTAAGAATACATAAAGCACAAGTTCAGCACTGTCCTTCTTTATTATTCTCTGATAAATTACAGAACCTAGCTTGATTCTCATTTTATTTTTCCAACAGATCTGCGATTGCCTTCCATAGAAAGGAAAATTAAAGCACCAGTTGTGCTACCACCTCCCTGGAGAAACAGCCAGGGCTGTTAGCAGTTAGCGTTCTTCCTCAGCAGCCTGCCTTCAAAGTCTAAAAGCAGAAATACCAAGCTGCTATCTATCTGCAGTAAAACCCTCGCTCAGACTTCCCCTTGAGGAGCAGCTAGCCAAGCAGGGAAGGCAATGGGTGGCTGAGAGGGTTTCTGGTCACTGAAGGAAGCATAAAGAAGAGGAGCGTCTGCTTTCTAGCACAGACCCATGGCAACACAGCAGTGAGGTAAAACATAAGGATCTAGGAAATTCAGAACAAAACACAGCAGGCTGCAGAGAAAATACTAATTTAACCCTGTGTTAATCTGCAGATAGTTCAATCTTATTTCTCTACTGCATGTCCCTTCGCATCATTAGTGGATTTGCAAATACAGCCCCAGATTGAGAAAAACATTTACCTAACCAAGCACACCTGATGCTTTCAGTAGGACCAAACACCAACACTTGGTCACGAGCTCAAGAGCCTTGTTAAATCCAGCCCTCAGGATTAGAGGGCTGTGGGATTCCTCACTAGAGCTAGCCCTTGGTCTTGGTGCCGATTGGTTTTCACACTGCCTTCCCCACATTGCCTGCCTGGTGGGAAGTCCATGTACAAGACAGCTTCAATACAGCCCAGCTAGCATCACCATTGGAAACCAGAAGCTTTGACATTAACAGGATTGTACTTCAAAAGAATACGCGTGTTTGCAGATAGCAACAGGGTTCCTTATTACAGCTGTCTAATCAGGCCAATATTCTGCAATTATACTCCTAGATCAAGCAGCACTGCAAACAGCACTTGCAATAAAACTGGCACCAGAAGGATGCCCATGTCACGCCTATACATTGAGCATTCAACTGTGATTCCACAAGGATGGCACACACGCTCAGTTTCAGATTCTATTGCAAAATGTTGAAAGTTGCAATCACAGCCAAACGTTTTTTAACTATACATATTTTGATCCTTGGCCTTTGTTTATAAAAAAAATCAGGTAAAATCCAGTTAAATGGCTTTAATTTGGGAAAGCTTTTATGTAGGACCTGAAGTACAGAACCATTGGAACCAGCCAAACTCAGACAGGTACTGGAATGTTTTGCTGTGGGATAAATTAAAGCAAATTCTTCCCAGAACCAGGGCCTTAGTTTTGGTGGTTGGGTGCCTGGGTTTTCCATTTGTTTCTCTGAGCACACAGAAGGGTATTTTGCAAACAGGAAATCAGAATGTACGATTGGTGCAAATAATTGTAGCATCTATGCTAATTCTTTTTTTAATCCTGATACCCTGTGTGCTTCTAAGTATGTAAATCTGATTCTCCTTGTGGCTCCACTGAAGTTTCTATTGATTAAATACCCAGCCCCAGCAGCAGGAGGATCAAGCCCTGCATATTTATTTTCTTCCTCTCAATACATACAGAACTCCCTTTGGCCTCTCAATTGCTGTATCACATGGTGTGCTGAATGCAAATAGAATTACAGTGCTAATGCACCCAATGAATATATTTGTATATGTATGCCAGCATTCTCCTACCAGCATCCTGCTGTACACCACTAAGTAGACCAAAGAATATATATTCATCACACCTGGAAGGTTTGTGAAATGAGTACATATTAGTAACAAGAACCAGTGTTCACTCAAAGAAAAACTGAGATTCCAAGATGAAGGCTGCAAGATCAGGACCTCATGCAGACCTTTGTAAAATCTAATGTTCACAGTGAAGTACAACCTGCGCACAGTAAGAGTTACTTAATGTTTATATTTTCATTAACCACAAGTTAAACACAGAAATTGTTGCAACGTGTAACAAGAAAACGTTTGCATTTCCCAGAAATAAATTAGTGGGGTCTCTTCAATTAGGATACAAAATCCACAGATAACATTTTCAACTACAGTCTTACAAGACATGCATCCTCCTTGAATTATTTTCAGCAACGTTGTTTTACAGCAAACTAAATTCATCCCTGTAGAAGCTTCACTGATTTCAGCGCAATAATATCTTAAAGATGAGATGCATTTAATTTGCTAGCTCACTCTACACTGACTTTTAAAGTCAGCCTGTAATGTCAGAAGATAGATTGATTTAAATCAGGTTCAAGTACCTCATGGCAATTAGAACCTGCAAAGCCTGAGAAATGTCAGTGAGTATTTGGATGAGATACATGCCAGCATGTATACAAATAAATCTCCCCAAAGTCTCACTGTAGTTGGTTCAAACAATGCTTTGAAAGTGACTCACTCAGCTCAATAATCACCATTTAAAGACAGTAAATGCAGTTTTAAAGCAATGTTTCACCACAACTACTTCCACTCTAACCCACAGTTTAAAAATAATGCAAATCAAAACAAGACTATCCCCTAAACTTAGAGCAAGAGGAGGTCACTTACCCTGTGAGGACCACAACAAAATCCATCACGTTCCAACCATTTCGGAGATAAGAGCCTTTGTGAAAAACAAACCCCAGAGCAATGATCTTTATACCAGCTTCAAAACAAAATATTCCAATAAAGTACGGCTCAGTGTCATCCTGCAAAGAATAAAAAGCAGAAGTGTCAAAGATACCCACATGACTGCACTTGCCTCAACAATTATAGAATAAATATGTGCACCAACTTTCCATTCATTTCAGCTCTGGACAGAGTTGAAACCAAAAGGTTCAAGTGTATTGAAACTAAGCATAGAGAAGGATTTCAGGATTAGTCTTCTGAGGATAAATTTGACTTTTTACATGGAAAATTCTATTTGCCTTCATTCTAGTGGTTTCACCCCCCACTTTTCACAATTACTCAAATTCCTGGAAAGAACTTTAATACTGAAATCTTGCTCCAGGCATATATCTAAATGTGAAGTCACATTTCTATAGTTATTGACGTGGAAGAAAAAACATTTCTGTTTCCTGGATGAACTATAAAAACAAACCAGAGTAACCTGGGGAAAACAAACCTACAAACATCACCAGGAAGTCTTTTATCATTTATTCGATCACTTATTTCACTCTTTGTGCTTCACATTCCACAGCTTCAAATCCATCTATTTTTGTTTTGTAGAGTGTCTGATTCAGGGACAAAACCTAATTTCCTTCTGTTAATAGTGGAAGCAGAAAGATTTTTGCCTTGTGCCTCCACTGAAGCTAAGACTTCATACTCCAACCCAATAAAGAAGAAAGCAAGTTTAGAGCTTTATTAAACTTCATTTCCATCCTTGGCACCAGATCCCTCAATATTATATTGATCCCTAGATATTATATTGATAAGAGTTTAAAGAAATTCATTTCTAAAAGGAAGCATTCACTGTTGGAAAGAGATACCAGCAAGAAACAGGAGCAAAGCAAAGGAAAAGGTGAAAGCACCAGGTGTCAATTTCAAGAGCATGCTAAGCAGCTTGAGCACCTGTATCCAATCTTCACACGTGCCTTAGATCCATGATTTTAGCTGAAGGTAATGGAAGTGGGGCAGCTCTACTTAAAAGAAAACAAACTACCAAATTAGGAAATTAGAGAATTGTTATTACAGTAGCTTTGATAATTCTGATCAAGAGTTGAGCTGTTGGGTGCAGTTGTTTATATGTTGTAGTTTTGTTAATGTCAAAAAGTAGTTTATTTTGTTCAGAAAGAACATGAGTATCGAGTCTTTGTGGCCACAACAAAGAAAGGAGCAGTTTTGATACAAATATTTTACAAACATAGTCAACCCTGCACTGGCACACAGACCATGCTTTAGGCATGATGTTTGTTACAGAAAGCCAGCTTTTCTCTTACAGAACAACATGATAGCATACCCTTCCCAAAGAGCCTTGAACACTTATCACGTTGATGTATACCCAACTCAGAAAATCAATCACAAAGCAGTAATCCCTGAGGGTACCTTTAAGCTGTTGGAAGTAACTACATGTAGACAGGCTTTTCCATCAGCTCTGAATTAAACTTTTGTTTCCTACCAAGAAGAGTCCTGCATCCCTACGCATGTCTCAGTGACACAAGACCTCTATATCCTTCTTTCTACAGCATCTCTAGTCCCTTCTACCTTTCCTAACCTCACTGCTCCCCCTCCTATTCCCCTGTCGCCAGGCAAGAAGGAAGAGAGGTCTGAAATTATTGTACAAGGTTTAAGGAGAATCTACCTTACCACTCCCTTGGCTTTCCTTTGTGGTAACAGAGCCATTCTAGCTGCCTACGTTGCCTAGGCTGCCTGCTCTTCAGCCCCACAACGCCTTCTAGATCAACAAACACCTAAAATCTTCACAAAACAAAGGCCTCCCAAGCTATCCTTCATTTCCAAAACACATCTACTAGTGGGCCTCTAAAAAGAGCTTTTCTACCACATTATAAAATAAATTTTAAAATTCCCCCACTCTGAATGCACTTCCTGCTTATTACTCCTTCACTTCTTGAATGCTTTATGTCTACTCTGCTACTAGTCATACACTCTATCTGGGTCAGATGCCTTGTGGTTAGAGCTCCCATCTTTAAAGGACCAGTGTTCAGTGCTATAGAATATGTTTTTTTCCCAAAGTTAGGAGTATACAGAGCTCTTAAGAAGTGAGTCAGAAACACTCTTATCAACATCTAAGAAATCAGGAAGGATCACATATGGGCTTGGGTCACCCTCAACAAGTTTGCTGATGATACAATGATACGAAGTGCTGCCATTCAGCGAGACCTGGACAGGCTGGAGAGCTGGGCAGTAAGAAACCAGATGAGGTTTAACAAAAGCAAGTGTAGAGTCTTGCACCTAGGGAGGAATAATTGCACGCACTGGTAAGGTTGGAGGATGACCTGCTGGAGAGGAGCTCTGCAGAGAGGGACCTGGGTGTCCTGGTGGACGACAGGTTGGCCATGAGCCAGCAGTGTGCCCTTGTGGCCAAAAAGGCCAATGGCATTCTGGGGTGCATTAAAAAGAGCGTGGCCAGCAGGTTGAGGGAGGTGATCCTCCCCCTCTACTCTGCCCTGGTAAGGCCTCATCTGGAGTACTGTGTCCAGTTCTGGGCTCCCCAGTATAAAAAAGACATGGAAAAGAGTCCAGTGGAGGGCAACAAAGATGGTGAAGGGCCTGGAGCGTCTCTCCTATGAGGAAAGGCTGAGTGATCTGTGTCCGTTTAGCCTTGAGAAGAGAAGACTGAGAGAAGACTTGATCCAGGTCTATAAATATCTAAGATGTGGGGGGTAGAGTGGCAAGGCCAGACTGTTTTCAGCAGTGTGTGGAGAAAGGACAAGGGGAAACGGCCAGAAACTGGAGCATAGGAAGTTCCGCACCAATGTGCGCAAGATCTTCTTTAGGTGAGCTGACGGAGCACTGGAACAGGCTGCCCAGGGAGGTGGTGGAGTCTCCTTCTCTGGAGATATTCAAGACCTACCTGGACACCTACTTGTGCAACCTGGTGTAGGGAATCTGCTTTGGCAGGGGGGTTGGACTTGATGATCTCTGGAGGTCCCTTCCAACCCCTATGATTCTGTGATTCTGTGATTCAGGGTATTTATTTATTTAAGAAAGAAAGAAAGAAAGAAAGAAGGAAGGAAGGAAGGAAGGAAGGAAGGAAGGAAGGAAGGAAGGAAGGAAGGAAGGAAGGAAGGAAAACAACTATTGACAACATTGATGAGAGTGAGTAGCTGAGGAAATAAGAGGAGATAGAAAAATGATCTTTTCTAAAGCCTATCTAAATTTACACTAATTCAGCCTAAGAATCAGGTCAGTAACAAGGATAGAATTAAATACAAAAGTGATGCCCCTCTAGGTAGTAGGAGCTGCTGCTGAAAAAAAGGATTTGCATTAGTGTGTGTGATGGAAGGATGTGGAGTGGGTGATTTGCCCTGAGCAACACTGAAACAGCACTACTGTCAATTGAAAAATCCTGCTTCCAGGTCATCCTGCAGCCCCTTTCAGATAGGGTACTGGGGTCTTGATTGAATTCAAGTTAGGGAGGTAGGAGATGATAAGTATCAATGTGAATACTTAGAAAGAGGGTGGAGAATTTGGGCAGCAGCCAGAGCTGTGCCAGCAGGTTGTTTGCTGTGGACACAGCAAAGCTTGAGTCTGGGCCAAACACACATTTAATCAATATGTTTCAGATCAGAAACAACTTCTACATCTGGGAAGTCATTACTATTCCTAGTCCATTTTCTAACGTCTTTCCTTGGCCTTTGGATGTGACAGCCTTAATAGATTTGGGTGTGTAAGCCTTTGTTCATGCAAAGCTTCATATGAACTGCTCATATATGGCTATATGAAGTGCCAGTGAATAGGTTAAAGAATTAAATCCATTAGGCAAGTGAAGGATCTGTTATGCTGAATATCTGAGAAAACAATTATGTTCCATTCTCACATCAAAACCAGCCAAACACTAGGAGCCCTATAGTGACACACATCCTACAGACCCACTGATAGCCCACTAGCAGGCTGTCCACAAGAGCAGAGCAGAAAATAAGTTTCTTATTCTGTTAGTTCAGATATTGTGTCTGTCAGGCTGAGAAAAATTCATAGTCTATAGAAGCTTCACATGAAAGAAAGAAAGAAAGAAAGAAAGAAAGAAAGAAAGAAAGAAAGAAAGAAAGAAAGAAAGAAAGAAAGAAAGAAAGAAATTAGCAGGACAGTGGAGAGAGCACAAGCACACCTCAGACTGGACAGCCAAGTACACAATGGCCGAGGCATCCACCTGCAAGGTCATTCAGGCTTCAATTTGAAGCTCACCTTCCCACATCTGGAGCTCTCACCATCAGACTCTGGGCCACTCAGTGCAATTCCCTCAGCACATTTTATCCTGGCATTGCTCCAAAGTGTATAAACAATGCAATATTTATTGGAACAGAGTGAAACTGCCTCTACAAACTATTGGCTAAGGCATTCAGCTGAGACAGAGAGCAGTAAGCTTGCAGCATTCCCGCTCCAATGGATAATTACTGATTTGAAGTAAAAACTTCCAGCAGCCAAAGAATGCCAAGCTCCCAGACCAGCATAGGCAAGAGCCTAGGGAGTAGAGTATTCCCCTTCCAGTGGGAGTGTGAGATTATTTCTCTTGTCTGAAAAACAAGAATTTGCAGGCAAGGTTCCAACTCACTTCTAACTGCTTTAACCACCACACTGACGTACTTTCAGAGCGTTGATTTTGACTCCCATTCTAGTGTCACTTTTTCCAGTGATAGACACTAGGTACATTTCTGCCCCTACAATTGGGTTTTGACAAAGTTTCCAAACACTGGTTATATTTTTCCTGGATTTTATTATCAGACTGGTCTTCCCCATCCCCATATAAACCTCAGTTGTGCAGAAACTCCAGACAAAAAGAGCTAGAAGTTAACTAAGTCCTGGGACAAAAGAGGCATCAACAGCTTTTCTGTGCTACAAACTATATACTGAATATGAACTAAAAATGATTACTTATAATTCAGCCATTCAACTCTTGAGATACTGCATATACTGATATATCACTTGCTCTTCCCATGCACTCAATTAACCTTGCTTGTCAAGAAACATGAGCATGGAAAGCAAATTGAGATTGCACTGCAGGATCATATCTTGGGTCCCTGGGGAGATACATTGAGGAAAATCTTGATCAGAAGAGAAAAATAACGAAAATATTTGCAAGGATTTTTCCTTCATCTTTTTCTCATCTTTAACAAACAGATGATCTTAAGATTCCTTGTCTTCCTATCTGTGGTACAAAGTATATGAGCAGATTTTGTTTTCTTTCAAAACCTCACCCCACATCTCGCAGTGGTAAAAGGCTGAAGGCATACATCTCATCCTTAACATCTGATTAACTCTTCAGCAATGAATCTGCAGTTCCAGTTTGGAGTTTTAATGAACCCAGGAGAAAGGAATATATAGCCATAAATCATTAGCCAGAAGAGGCCATTTCTATTCCTGCCAAAGACAGTAGAAAAGCACCTGGTGTTATATGTGGACTTATAATCTGGCTCAAAAAAAACCTGAAAATATATGGCATAGTTTGGCCACTCTGTTTTAACAGAGAATTGTAACATTTTCAGTGAAACTATTCACAGTTTGTGGGACACAACAAGAGCATTCTAATGAGGTTTCGCTTTAAAAAACAGAAGACAGTTCTTATTCGCAATGCTTAATTTTTAGAGCACATTTTGAAAATAGAAAACATCATGATTTGTAAGGATTATCACTGTTATTCTATGCTAAACTCTTTAATACTGCAGTTACAGATGTGCTGTTGTTAAGATGGGCTCAGAATATGTGGTTAAAATACAATGCTGCACAGCATTGTTTGGGACAAAAATTGAGGGTTAATTCTTCCTTCATCTCCAAGGCAGAAGCAACAAGTTGGGTACTATGCATTTAATTCATTCAGTTATTTTACACTGCCATTAATGCCAGTGCCCTGCACAGTCATAATATGGGCAGAAACCTAAAGAGTACATGGAAGCATGGGGCACTGAAAAACAACTAATGCAAAGGAGAAAAGAAGCAATAAATACCATCCTGGATCCATTTGTAAGTGTGGGGATACAGTGCAACATAGACACAATATGCTAACCATACCACCTCCTGCATAAAATAACAAATCGCTGTAAGGTTACCAAGCCAGAATATTCACAAAACTACCTTTCCCCTTCACTACTGTATATGTTTAAGATCCATGTATGGAACGCTGGAATTTTCCCAGCTCAATCATCATTCTGAATCTGTGCTTTGCTCACAAACCCAGATTTGCCTTTCTATCAGATCTCCAAACATATAAAAACACATTGTCGTCTAATGAAAAAGTTCAACACATTTTTCATTTTTTTCATTATTACATCTTAACTAGAAATCATAGAATCACAGGAGTTGGAAGGGATCTCTGGAGATAATCTAGTCCAACACAATAATAATAATTAATATTAAAAGTGAGTAGTATACAATGTAAATAGGCAGTCAGCATCAGCAGATAGATTTCCAAGTAGGCAGTATCGACCAGATGAGCCTGAAGTTCTTTCTAGATCTATCAGTTACACACTTTTTCCCTCTGTTTTCTCTTTTCTTCTGTTTTGAAGACTGAAATTGTAAAAGTTGCCCACTGTAAGGACCAGACTTAGAAACAGTAGCATCCAGCTTTCAGAGGTTCAAGCATTTGACAAGAAGGATAATATTATCGTTGTTTCAATAATTTAATGTCTACATGTAAAACACATGGAAATACATATTTATTAATCCTTTGAACATATACCAAGACAAATGAATTTAGACATGAAATATATTCCAGATCATTAACAGCAGGAGAAAAAAAAAAATCAGACCAAGTATTATCCATTTTTTCCTACAGCGATGATAAGTGAAAGAATGATTTTGAAGCTATTCTTATATTTCCTTCTGAAATAAGGTAATTGAGCTCATTACCATAAAGCCTGCTGGTAAATTATTTTCCTCTGTAAGTTGGTTTCCTTTTTGGCAGGGGAATGTAATATTCTAAATCCAAAGTTTGCTTTGTATGCTTAATATACAGCTGTAGCTGGAAGACAGCTGAAAGACTCATGGGCCTAAAGGTTATTCTGTTCTAACACTTCCTTTGAAAATATCAAAGATATTCATTTGATTCTACACATAAATCTGAGCAGCCCCTTCCTGTCTTGGTCTACATACAGTGCAAGTTTGCTGCTCTTCTGTTATGCTGTAAAGTCCCCCACTTTTCTTGAAATTGCACAGGATTGGCTATCGTGATGAAGCATTCTTGTGCTTATAGAATCAGGAGGCTGTAGTTCTGTTTGTTGTCAATACCTTATTTGTTCTGATTGTAAGTTCAATTTCTATTTGTTTACATATGGATCTTGAAAATAGATACAAGTACCCACAACATTGGGTGGCTGATCGCTTTTTGTATTAAACTAGAAGAAAAAAAAGTCTAAATAAATGAATAGAACTCACCAATCTCTCTGACATAGGTGTCTTGTCTCCATCCGGCAAATGTTGCTCCAGAGCCAGCACAATACAATTGGCTATGATTGTAGCTAAAATCATATATTCAAATGGAGTGGGAACCAGAAGTTAAAGAAAAAAAACAGGACAGCACAAGAAGAACCACAATTCAACTCATTTATACCTAAAGCAATTACAGTTGAATGCTCAAAGATCTGTTATCTCTTTTGGAGACGCTTGGTCTCCTAGACTTTCTCAGTTCTTTTGGGGGTATCTTTGGAAGAAGAACAGAAAACTAGATTTCATCTTCGTGAAAGTTAGTGACCTACACAAAATCAGAGCTACTCAAGGTGAAGAGTGCAACAGGGATGAAGAAAGGAAAAAATAAAATGTAAAAAAAAAAAACAGAAAGCTATCTTTTTATCATTATTGAATGAGATTAATGACCCAAACCGAAACAAAATAGATAATACAGCTGCATGTAATCTGCTGAATTATTATTCAGAAATTTGCCATCACTTAACTTGCTCGCATCATGTAAACAAGTGATGGACTCGATAAGTTCAATTTAGTGTATCTACACAGGTCCAAACTGCTAGATTGCAACACCTGCTCCTGATGAGAGCAAAATAGACAGTTCTCTATCGAGATGCAGAAGAGAAGAGATCTTAGAGGAAAAAAGGCAGACCCAACACAGGGTAGCCCCTTGTCTCACGCCTTCATTCTAGCCGTTGCGAGTCGTGGCGTTCCTAGGGCGGATCCACGTCGCGGGCGGCAACGTTACCCCAGCACGGCGGACAGCTCCGCTCAGCACCGCGGACAGTTCCGTACCACACAGCGGGAATCGTGCATCAGAACGCTGGGTCGCGCCCTTTTCAGCACCGTGGACAGCGCCCGTTCGGCACCGCGGATAGCGCCGTCCAGCACCACGGATAGCTCCGTCACTCAGTACCACGGACAGCGCCTGCCCTGTCTGCCCCCGCCCTCCTGGGCCGCAGCTCGGCCAGAACCCGGCCCCGCAGCTCGGGCGTGGGGACCTGCTGGTGGCTCTGTTGAGCCGGCTGGGCTCCGCAGCGCCGTGGGCCCCCTCCCCACACTGTACGCTAAAAGAGCAGTAGCCCAAGAGACTAGCGAGGGATAGAATGTATCTAGTCTTGCAGGAAATGCGATGCTTTGGCTGCCACTGGGGCTTTGAAGCTTGTTTATTCATACAGGGAGCAGAAATGGATAAGGAAGTACAGCAATGCCTGTGGTTTTATAATTCAGATGGAGAGATCAATACGCGTGTGTATTCAGGAGGAAAAGAAGTGCATTCACTCTACTGGTATATTTTTTTCTGTTAGTCTCTTTGGAAGTGAAAGCTTGGGAAGACTAAAGGGGAGCCAGCCTCCATGGCAATTGAAAGTGTTGCTAGGAGGCTGAGAGAAGGCCTTCCTGATGTTAGCTCACAATTAATTGGTGTGTGTTCAAATGAAAAGAAAACAACCTGTTCCCTTGAGATCGCCACTGTAATGCACTCCTGTACACACACACGCACGTACATACACGCATGCACTACCTCTACTCCCTGGTAACCTCAGTTAATCTTAGAAGAAGAGCCTACTTCCTTTTTGTCACAGCTTACAACCCCTCTGTGTGTATCATTATAAGCAAAGCCTCCTTCTAAGGAAGATATCTGCAGCTCACTCGGCCTGGAAGCTGGTTCTGAGACAGAAAGCATCTGCCCCTTTCACAATACAACAGATGAGCTTTCTCTCCACTTACTGCCTTCCCCTCTCACAGGGCTTCACTTTTTTTTGTTGTTGTTGTTTTGTTTTTAGAACAGGCTAAGCTTAGATTAAGTACTTCATTCAAAGTGATAAGATTCCTGTTGGTTCCAATGAATTCAGGACATAGGGTACTGAAAAAACAGCTGCAATGGTTGTGTTAGTGGGATTTCACAAGGTACCTTAGCTACCAATGTCTCTCCTATCAATGCAGTTTAATGCTGTCACCATTTTTATCTTACATTTATTCTTCTTTTCAGAGTTAGAAATAAGAGTTGTAAGTCTGTAAGATGGAAATAAGAATAGGGATTCCTTAGCAGAAGTCTAACAAATCCGTTAGCATTTCATTTAAATTGTAGAAATATAAATCTATGCAACTATATGTCTCTCACCTAAATACACACTGGAATGCATGTATACCTAACACCCCTGGCACAGTCAAAAGCACACTCTGCTGCTCCCACAGAAGCATTTTCCTGTGATACCAAACTACACAGCTGTACATTATGTCAGACACAAGGATCTATGTCGCACACACCCATTACACACACTGGATCACACATGCACATCTATATTAGCAGCAGACACTCATCCTCAGCTGACTAGAGGGGTCTCATTCTCCATGTCTCCCCCCTCCCCAGCTTCCCCACCATGCCCACACAGCCTCCCTGAAAGGATATGGCCATTCTGTTATTCTCTTGGCATATTTCCGTATAACATTATCTTCACTGAAGATGAAGAGGGATCTGTTGACTGTGAAGCAGTTCTGTTTGACAGGGATGGGGTTGTAGAGAGCCATAGTCCGGGCCCTCTGAGCCATCGACTGCTTATACATCCTCTGGCCGGCTTGGGGGCCACCTTGCCGGCTGCTCCCTCTTCCAGCCCCGGCCGGCCCTCCACCTCCATAGCGTGTTGGTAGATCATCCCCGAACCGAGCCATTCTCTCAGCGCACGGAGCTGGGTGCTACAATCCAATCTGGCAGCCGAGACGAGAGGAAGACGCATCACAGCGCGCAGCACTTCTCCCTCCGGGGGCTTCTGTTGCGGGGTCGGGATTGATCGCACCAAAATATATAGCTAGATTTTTAAAAAATAAGAAGAATAAAAATTTCCTTCCCTTCCTCCGCCCTTCCTCTTCGCTCGCCGCTGGGGCTGCCCGGGTAGAAGGAAGGTGCCGATGCTCCGCTCACCTCCCCACACAGGTGCCGTCTCTTCGCCCCGACCTCATGGCCGAAGCCGCGGGGCTGACGCGGTCCCTTCCGCGGCGACCGACGGGGTTCTGGGTTGGGAAGGGGCTGCGCTGCTGCCGTGCCCACCGCCGGAGCGCTCCGCCGTGCCCAGCCCAGCCCGGCCCTGCCCGGCCCGGCCCCGCCGCATGTGATGCCCGGAGCCAATCGGTCGCCGCGGCTCCGCCCGTTCCAGTCACCGGCACCGGGAGGCGGGGAGGGAAGGAAGGAGCCGACCCGGCCCGGCCGCCACCTCCACCCCGCTAAATACGATGGAACCGCGGCCACTCCCCGGGGCAGCGGGGGGAGGAGGATCCGAGTGCCCCCAGCTCCACGAACGGCTCCGCAGCCGCGCAAAAAGCCCCAACCCGGAGGTGCGGGTGGAGGGGTTGGGGAACAGGCGAGGCAGCCCCCGCGCCTGCGCGCCGCTGTCCAGATGTGCACTGCCCAGCTCCTGCACCCATGGAAGCTGCAGGGCAATGGGGCTCCAGCCCCCCCCACCATTAAGATCCCTGGGGAAGGTTTAGAGAAATGGGGGGCTGGGGTTGCGGAAGCTCTTCTGAGAGCCTGACCCCATCCTGCCCCTACAGGATGGAAGGGGGCTGCAAGAACAGGGCACATGGATAACGTAGTGCAAAGCTGAATGTGTGCAGGCTGGCTTAAAATGGACAGCTGCATCCTGGACAACTTTGTTTCTCCTTGGTTTGTGTGACTCTTGTAGAGCATGGGATACTTTTAGTTCCATATTTATGGATGAAATCCTTTAATCCTGTTTATTCCAACACCCTCTATTGCTCCCATCCACCCCAAGTCAGAAAGCTCACTCCTTGTTCCTGAAGCACTCACACCAGAAGTCACTGGAGTAGCTGGTAAGGACACCCTTCTTCTACATTTAGGCTAAACCAACAATAAAAATTACTAACCTCTGGGGCCCTCCAGAGAAGTCAGGGCTTTCAACAAGGGGACATTTTCACTTCCTCCCAATAAGGAAACCTTGGATTCTGCTGCTTATGAGTTTTTTGCCTTAGTCATCCAAGCTGTCTCAGTTCAAAACCAACCCACCAACTAGGCAAGACTGTAGCAACAACATCTGCTGACTTCAGGAGAGAGCAACAGGGTTTTCACAAATAAGGGCTGGCAACATCCAAAAGGGCAACTCTCCAGAAGAAAGCAGTTTGTGTTTTTGTTTTGTTTTTACAGAGGTCTTTGGCATCTGAAGGGATTTCTCACATTGCAGAATGGCCAGAAGATGCCCTTTGGAGGCATCTGGTAGCAACATTAACTCAAAGAGCTGTAGAAGAAAGCAGCAAGGGAGGAAGGCACAGCATTTATTGCTGCTTTGAGGGTTGGTCAAAGCCATCTGAAGCCCTGGGCACAAGACAGTGAGGCTGGCAAGGCTGCAGTTTGCCTTTCCACATGTTTTTGAGAAGCAATGGGGCTGACGAACATAAACCAGGACTTGCCCCCCAATCCCAGCTCCGCATAATCTGCAGATTGAATTGAATGCTGGAGCCATTGGTAAAAGCTTTGCCTGGAGAAAGAAGATTATGTCTTTGAGAAACAGGGCCTCACTCTTCAGCTACCATCAAGTTGCTCTGGCATCCACCAGCTCAGAACCCCCATGACACCCAAACCATCCCTGGATACAGATTAATATGCATTTCCTCATGTAAGTCATCATCCATTAAGCATCACACTGAAGCTGATCCCCACAAATGGACGCACCAGGGAAGCCACGTCATCTTTTTACCAAGGCAGAAGGAGGGTGCAGAAAGCTCACAGCTCATGGGCTGGGAAGAGTGGGAGGTGCTTTTTCCCCTTTAGATTTCCCTAAAAATATCATTTTCACCCTCACTGCAGCTTTTCTATAATGAATTTAGAAAAGCAAGTTCCCCCCAGCTGATTTATTTTGTCTAAATTCTTACTTCTCAGCTTCTGGTCACTCATTCTAACATCCTGTGATCTTATGCTATTCAATGGAGGAAAAACTGGCTCTTTCTGTCAGTAACCACTGGAAGGAGAAATGCCATTTTCAATAATCCCTCACCTCTACTGATAGAAATCAGCATCTGGAAAATTAAATATATTAGCTTACAGAAATCTTCATGCCTGCATCCAACAAGACAAAGGCTGAGGAACAAAGTAAGAAAAGTAAGAAAAATAAAAACAAACCAAAAACAAACTAACAAAAAAAAAAAACAAAAAAAAAACAAACAAGGAAATAACACAGCCTTTCATATCAAATGGCATTAAGAATCAGGTATAATGTGGACTCCCATGTCTTTTTCTCTCCTCCCAGAGCCCACAAGCCACCAACTCTCCAGCACAGCACTGCAGGAAGTCAGCAAACAGGGCAGTGGGAGTGTTTGTGACAGCTAGAAAATGGTGCAGTGTGGTGTGGTGTTGTTCTCTTACATCACTGCTTGCCCTTCTCTCTATCTGCATGCTCAGGATTTGTTTTGAGTTGTGTTGGTTTGGTTTTTTTTCACACCATAAGGAAGATCACACAGATCTTAAGCTCTGAAATCCTTAAGCACAAGAAAGAGGTTGCAATTGCAGGGATTATTTAAGCTTTAGAAAGGGAAGCATCAGGATTTAGTTGGGCTTTTTAAGATTATGAGCAGAGCAGGGAGTTAAGAGACAACCAAAGAAATCAGAGCGCTAAGACAGGTCAGACGTCTGTGGTCTATCACTACAGGAGGGCAAAGAGCAATTTCATGGTAAATTCTAAAAATGGATTCGGTAATGAGTAACCCCTCCCAGTAAGACCTAAAGACAAAGGTGAGAAAAATCATACTGCCCTCAGCTGCCTCATCTTCAGCAATGAGCTGTCCTCCTCTCTGAGCTGCTTTGCCAGGCAACCAAGCACTTCCCTGGACTTTCACCTCCATCCAGAAGACCAATCCTGAGGTAGGTGATGGGCTGACTGGAGCAGTGCTTCCATCTGGGAAGCTAGATCTGCCTTGTTGAGACCATACAGAGACAATGGTGTGAGGATCTTGGCACATAGCTGCATCACCAGGGTAAGTAGTCAACAGGGGCTCCCAGGACAGTCTGGATCCACCTCTCTGAAATTCCCAAGGTTGAGGAACACAGCAGCCACTTCAATCCTATGCATACTGGAGCTCAGGTGCAAGGTTATTATCAGATAGAGCAACTTCCAAGAGTTCCAAGAGCACAATATTTCCACAAAATTAATAAACGACACAGGCTGCACATTGCTTTCTATTCCATAGGAAAGTCTGAAGCTCTGGGCCAAGAAAAACAGCTTACAGAGCTGTTCCTGGCCACTGACTTCTCTCTTCACTCACATGCATGCAATTTGCTCCAGCTGTGCTAGAGGAAGATCCTGCTGTGATGCAGGTAGAGAAAACTGTTAAAGGTTGTGCTCAAGTATGCCAGAAAATGCTAAATGGCATTATGGAAAAGACAGAGAGGGGAGGGCAGTGGGAAAGACGCTCTGTTAAAGTTTGTCAGCAGCACAAGGATAGAACAGTTATCAAAGGGAAAGAAAAGACTCATGAAGACACAGCTCCTCTTATGCACATGTCACGATCCTGGTACTGCATGTAATACAAACAGTGCCCTGAGTCACTGGGACCCATTACCATCAGCTGCTGTACTAATGTAGATTAAGAGAGACCCTGACCTGATTGCTCAGAGTTTGAGTTGGGAGTGTGAATAGTGAACACCAGAGCTGCCTCTGACATTACTGCACCATATTTGAGCCCCAGCAACACCAGGGCAGTGCTTCCTCCCCAGAACAGCAAAGCAATTTGCTCACATGCACCCAAGTGCTCACAGCAGAGGGACCTCAACAAGACGATGGACAGAAAGTGCTGTTTTTTACATCAGCCTTCATACTTCAGTTCTCCCCAACATTTCCAAGATTGTTCTTATCCCATTGATCTCAAAGACTGACCAACCAGCAAGGAAAGGCTGCAAGATCACACCTCCTCTTCCATGAACTTCAATTCAGCTGAAAACTTGGTCACCAGAGAGGGGAACTTGGTGATTCAGCCTGTCTTTCAGCACGTATCTATCTGTGCTACCAAAATGATTAAGCTCTAATCCTCATTAAGATTCAGGTCTGTCCCATGCTTAGGCTCTTCTGAAAATCTGCCTAGATGCTTCTCAGTATATCCAGATGTCACAACAACATTTCAAATCTGACTTCAGACAGAATTAAGTAATATATAGGCTCAGTTCTGGGTGAACAGCACTCTTGAAACCTGAGAGTGAGCAGCATCGCAAAAACTGATTGAGCACCCTGACTCTTCTGGCCATCATCATGAGCTAGGTGGGTTGGCAATGGAAAGTCAGAGGTTTATACTGAAGGAAATTCATCAGTCGCTTACCCAGAGGTCAACACAAGTTGAAGGCAGCTTGCTCCCAGGCTTCTTTCCATGTGAAACCAGCAATTTGTACTTGTCCCACACAGATGCCTGCTATCAAGCTCCCAGTACAACACGAACATTTCAAATCACACTGTGAAAGTAATCGCAGTTTGCCAGATTATTTTCATTCTTCATACTGAATACAGATTGATCAAGGACAAAGAGTACGTTGCCTTCTCCATGATGGGCAAGAGAAGATATTCAGACATAGAGAGAAAAGATGGATAAAGGAATATGGAACACACAGGGAAATGTTTCCATGTTTGGTGTGAGGATAAGGTGGAGGAGGGCCCAGACTACTGAGTCTCCTCAAGTTTTTAAGACCTTGAGAGTAACACACCACAAAAGCATCTTCTCCCCAAGTTGCAGGGTGGCAATTGTGGTGACAGCCTGTATTCTAATAGCAAGGAAGATGGTGGTATAATTTTTGGCTACC